TAGCTGGGTGCAGCTGCAGGATGAGCATTTATATATGGAGGCACCTCAGCCAATGTATGGAGGTGAGCAGGAGAAAGCATGGTGGTTTCAGCAAACATCAAGGAGGTTCACTGAGAGAAGAGTCAGGTTGCTGAGCAACTGAGTTTTAACTTGATTAAAGGGACTTTTAACTAAGGTAAGGCAAATAGTGGAGGGACTTAAATAGCAAGTTTCTGCCCAGTGACTAATACGAAGAAAGCCATATTTCAGAAGATTAATCTGGTAGTGATGTGCATGTGGGGGCAGATAGTTTTCATCTTTAAACAAAGGCTAATTGAGCAGATGGTGATTTTAAACCATGAACCACAGATGGGAAGCCAGCCAAGCTATATACATTACATTGTGAAAAATCTCTAAGACATGTCACTGATCTTTTCGTCTGTGTTTCCTACCTAATTCATTTCATTCTTCTGTTTTAATTTCTCCCTCTATACTTTCTTGTCAGTTGCCTTCTTGGGAATACAAAAGGACATAAAGTTATGTTTATGCCATTATGTTTCACATAATTGAGCATTTAGTAATATATGACACTGTCAGTTTTACATATTAAGTCTTGAAGAGATTTATGATCAAAGGGTATGATTATGTTTTTGTCTTTATGTGTTTCATTGATTTTGGACCTGGGGATGACCTATTATATTAAAAATATGACGCATTTTCTACTTTAAAAAAAGGTTGCAGGATGTTAGGAAATCTTTCTTTTATTCTTAGTTCTGCTTTTCAGTATCCTAATAAGGAACTGAATGCCTATTTTGAACCATGTTGTTATTCCATTACTTTGCCATGTGCTGTATTAAGACAGGTAACATGATTTACTTAAGAGCTTTCACCTCAGAGTCTGTTTCTATTTACTATAGTGTTTTCAGCACTCCATAGTCAAAAATAAGTCTGGCACTGAACGAGTCAGTCTGATTATGAAAACTGTTGTGATATTCAGTCTTATGTTCCTCCCTGTATTTTTATCAGTAGATTATGTATTCAGAGGAGAAATTTTTCTAAAAACTATAAATAGACACAAAATGTTTTATGTGTCACTTTTTGAAGGTTACAGTCTTCATCCCTTGATGATTCAAGTCCAACAGATTTATTGAAAGATACTCACACTATAAACTGCAGGAATGTAAGTACCATTGTAAGTGATAATATTCGTGAAATAAATGAACAATAACATTGCTCCTTGTTGATTATTTCTTTTGAGAAAAGAGGTCATCCTGTAAAGAACGAACCCTTTCTACTTAGCTCAGAGTTTTTAAGAGGCATTGTAGAATAGTGGTTAAGAGTGAAGTCTCTTGGGACCATACTATCTGGGTCCAAGTTGTGATTCAGACACTTACTTCTGGGTAACCTCCTGCATGTTATTTAAACTCTGCACCTCAACTTCCTCATTTGTAAAAAAGGGATTAATAATAGCACCAGTCTCTTGGAGTGGTGTGTGAATTAAATGATTTAACACACAAAGAAACAAAAACTTCACAGTGCCTGGGACACAATATGTGCTCAATAAATGGTAGCTATTATTGTTATTTTAATAGATTCGATTCCGTGGATTAAATATACTCCTTAGGGTCTGGAAAGATGTTTAAATAATATAAGCTACAAATTAAGTACTACCTACTATTTAATTCAATTGAACAAATACTAGCTATTTGAAATGCACTGTTGCATATACAAAAATGACTGAACATAGTGCTGAAAATGTGGAAGACCCACATACAATTCTGATGTATCCCAGACAACAAAAAGCTCTAAAGTAGGTATATAAACTAAGTGGTATAAGAATATAGGAGAAAAGAGAAATTAAATCTGACCAGGGACAAAAGGGAACTTGAAAATATCTTATTATATTAATATAGGCTTTTGATCTAGTATTTGCCAGTTTTACTCATACATTTAGCAAATGTTTATTGGGTACCCATTTTGTGCCAGAAACAGGGATTTAAGTCCTTGTAACACACAAGAATCTCCAAGTAGTGTACGTTATATAGGCATTCTATGGCAAAGTTCATCAACTGAATAAGACAACATAGGTAAATGATTTCTTCTTTTGATGAGCTACATGAACATTAGATTGTTTGTCCTGTGACTATTTAACAGTATGATAACATTTTGGTAAAAGTCTCTGGTTTACTCCATTCCCTACTCCAAAGCAGTATTTCCTGTTGTAGTTTCATATGAGATACTGTTTTATCATCATTTAAAAAAAACTGAAATAGCTTTTCATTTTTAATCGAAAACTTTTCCTTATGTATGTAATTCAGTTATGGTTATGAATAATGCGGGGGCTTTGAAGTCAGGTAGACTTGGGTTAAACTCATGGCTCCAACACTTTGGGCATCAAGATATTAGACTCCTTGGGCCTCAGATGCCTGACCTCACGACATGTGTAACATGAAACGAGATGATGCCTGTGGAGTACTTAGCACAGAATACGAAGTGTGAGCTGCCATGTCGTTGATGGCAGTGGTGGCATTGCCAGAATGCCCGCATCTGAAAACTGCTGAGAGGTCTTTATATCATTCAAATAGGAAACTTTCTATTTATTATTCTTTCTTTACAGATGTCAAATAAGGAGCTGACTACACTAAGTCCTTCTGAAATAGGGGAGCTACAGGCTACAAAGCAAAACCGAAGTGCTGTTGCTCCCCATAGGCACGAACCACTCCTTGGTAAGTTTTCTTTGGCAACTGCCTGCCATTTTGGTTTTCCAAAAACTCTTTTTAATCACTATATTTTCAGGCTTAGGAAATTTCTAGAGATGCAAACAACTTTAAGATTTTTCCCAAAACTACAGTGAGGTATCACCTCATACCGGTCAGAATGGTCATCATCAAAAAGTCTACAAATAATAAATGCAGGAGAGGGTGGGGAGAAAAGGGAACCCTCCTACACTGTTGGTGGGAATGTAAATTGGTGCAGCCACTATGGCAAACAGTACGGAGGTTCCTTAAAAAACTAAAACTAGAGCTACCATATGATCCAGCATTCCCACTCCTGCACCCCTGGACATATATTTGGAGAAAACTAATTCAGAAAGATACTTGCACCCCAGTGTGCATAGCTTTACACAATTTTACAATAGCCAAGACATGGAAGCAACCTAAATGTCCACTGACAGATGAATGGATAAAGAAGATGTGGTTTATATACACAGTGGAATATTACTCACCCATAAAAAATAGTGAAATAATGCCATCTGCAGCAACATGGATGGACCTAGAGATTATCATACTGAGTAAAGTAAGTCAGACAGAGAAAGACAAATATCATATGATAGCACTTATATGTGGAATCTAAAAAAAATGAACTTATTTACAAAACAGAGATAGACTCACAGACATGGAAAACAAACGTATGGTTACCAAAGGGGAAAAGGTGAGGAGGGATAAATTAGGAGTTTGGGATTAGCAGATACAAACTACTATATATATAAAATAGATAAACAACAAGGTCCTACTGTACAGCACAGGGAACTATATTCAATATATTGTAATAAACTATAATGGAAAAGAATCTGAAAAAGAATATATATTTTATATAAAATGATTTCAGTTTTATACATATAAAGCATATATGTATAAAACTGAATCACTTTGCTGTATACCAGAAACTAACACATTATATTTTTTATACTTCAATAAAAATAACTAAGAGTTTTTCATTCAAAATCATAAATACAGTAATCATGCTGTTAATTTTTAAGTGTATGCTACTTAATGGACCTGTCATTGAAAATTTGATTATCCACTGAATCAGTTATGGGTATTATTAAAACACACAATTTCAATAAAACTAAAGCTCTTGTATTTAGGGGAAAATGTCCATTCTTAAGAAAAAGAATTTTTAAAGATACCAATCATAAAATGTTTAAGGTGTAATTATTCATTTTAACTATGTTTATGCAAAGTCCAAATGAAGAAAATTGAAATGACACAATTTTATAGCCCCCCATAACTGACTCTGATCTCCTGAAAATATATGTTAAAGAGAATCAAAGGACTTGAAGGAACCTGGACGTCAGCTTCACAGAGAGCCACATATTAATCATCGCAAATTCTATTGTACTTTGAAAGATACCTAGAAAACTTCGATTAATCTGTTGCTGTGTTTTAACCCTGAATTTCTAGAACCTCTTCCTTATCTCTGATTTAAATCTCATTTCCATGGTTCCTCCTTATTTCCTTTTTCAATCAAAAATCTGGGGACCGCTCCCACTTTTATAAGAGTCTTTCAAATTTGGGGGAAGATGCTTTTGTCTCAGCCTTCTCATTTTGGGGTTAAACAAGCAGTATTTTCACAAGGCAGATTAAAGTTCAATTTCTCCTTCAAGGCTCTATATACACACATGAATAAACCCCAACCCCTAGCTTCCAACTGTCTGGGAGTCTGTACCTCTTAGCTTTTATCTTCTATTAGAAAGCTCGTAGACTAGCTCACTTACATGCATCAAATGAGTGAAGCTCAATTTATCTGACAGCAGATTGTTATAAAAATAGGCGACCCATTTAAAAATGTATCAGGCTTCTGCAATTTAAGACGTATACTTTGCCTTCAATAATACATTGTATGGTATCCTAGCCTTGCTTTGCCATTTTTGATGATAACTCATTTTTTAATCTCCAAATGTACTTACATAAGCTTGTATTTTAATTCAATAGGAGAAGGTGCCCAGCTGGATTTTGATGCCCTCTGTGACAATGACGACACAGCCATGGCTGCCTTCATGAATTACTTAGAAGCAGAGGGGGGGCTGGGAGACCCTGGGGACTTCAGTGACATCCACTGGGCACTCTAGCATTTGATTTTTAACTCAACATGAGAAACGTTTTGAAGCATTTCGCTTACAAAAAACTATATATTCTTCTGTACTGTACTGATACTGTTTTTATCTTTTATTCCTATTAGTGGTTGACCAGTTTTTATAGATTTGCTCCTGACTTTCACAGGGGTACAGGGAAATGTGATGTTTCCCTTCAAATTCTCAAAATTTTCTATAGACCACTTTACTCACTGACATAGCTTAAAACCCACTAGTTGCTATATTTTTGCTAAAGTCTTTCTAACCAAGAATACCACATGTATCTTGTTTGGGTTTTGTTTTTATTTTTTGATGCAGTTGTTTTGAGTTTGGGGAATTTAATGTGTTGACATCTTTCTTGTGTCTGAGATTCATTTATAATTGATTTATAATAGAAGATTTGTGTAATTTGGAACATTTCCGTTCCTTGTGTATTTCCTTAATTGAGGATAGGGCTTATCCATTTTAAGAAAACGATGAGTACTTGAACATTTAAAGGGACAGTGCAGGGCTTCCCCAATGGGGCAGTGGTTGAGAGTCCGCCTGCCGATGCAGGGGACACGGGTTCGTGCCCCGGTCCGGGAGGATCCCACATGCCGTGGAGCGGCTGGGCCCGTGAGCCATGGCCACTGAGCCTGCACGTCTGGAGCCTGTGCTCCGCAACGGGAGAGGCCACAACAGTGAGAGGCCCGCGTATCGCAAAAAAAAAAATAAAGGGACAGTGCAATTTGTAGTGGTAATCACAGTGAATACTGTATTCAGCCTTTGTAGACTTGGGCAAGCACAGAGCCACGATAGTTATGCTCAGTTGAGCACTTTGAGATGGATTTTAAGTAAGATGATTTCTTATTTAAAACTCAGAAAAGAAAAAAAAAGCTGAGAGCGTTTCTGCTTTGCTTACAGAAAAGGAAAGATCTTGGGCCCTACAGCTTGATGGTGGTTAACCTTTGCCTATAATATTTAGTCTTAATATAACCACTCAAGATTCTTATTACAGGGTTTTGATGCTGAAAAGGTTTTTAGCAACCTTCAGGATTAGTCTTAGAGGAAGAAACAGGCCCAGGCAGAGTCAACGCCTTGTGTAATGTCACAATTAAGTTCATATGTCTTTTAATGTTTAATGTATATAAACCAGTTTCTTTATACACATTTGAGAAAGCAGTAGTCTCACTGGTTAAATGATTAGTTAACTGACCTAGGAACAGTTGTTGGCTTTTTAAATTATTAGGCAATTACAGTTACTATTGCCTGTAACCAAAGGTAATTATGTAAGTGTGTTTTTAAAACCATGAGGCAATGAGAAAGAATTTAAAAACCAATTTTCTAGCTATAATTAAAAATCGAGAGCATTTTTAAACCAGTAATTAATTCAGAGGTAGCTCAAATTGAGGGCAAGAATTAAGGATATTTAAAATACTGTATGTAGGGACTTCCCTGGCAGTCCAGTGGTTAGGACTCCACGCTTCCACTGCAGGGGACATGGGTTTGATCCCTGGTCGGGGAACTAAGATCCCACAAGCAGTGCAGCATGGCCAAAAAAAACCGCCCCAAAAAACAAAAATAAAATACTGTATATATAGCTACCTTTTTGAAGACCATACTTCCATAATACCTATGGTTTTAATAGCTCTTTCTAGTTTACTACGTGTGTTCCCATATATTCTCTTTTGTGCCCCACAAGGGAAAGTAATGATAGTCTAGGAAACTAATGGGGAAACTCTGAGGCTCAGATATGGGGATCAAGTCCAGTTTTCCTTTTCTATGTGGTGCTGTACATCTCCAGCAGATTTCCCTCAGAGCCCCACGAAAGCAAAGCATTCGTTTGACCTCACACATTTCCGTAGGCTGTAAGTAATAGATTAGAACTTTCAGACACGTTAATGGCAAACATAGCAACAGGCAACAACCAAAATCAAATGTTCCTTCACGTTTGACATTTGCAGTGGCTGTGTGGGCAAAGATGTATTGGCCTATTGTCTTGAGCCGATGCAATGTTCCAGTAATGTCAGAGGGTCAGCACCATTCCTGGTTCTGGCATTTGAGGACTTGGGAGACATCTAGGTTTAGAATAAGCCAAAAAAAAACCCTCACAAGATGGGGGATATATTGGTTTGTAGTGGCCTAAGCATGATAGTTAAGTCTGAGGAAGCGTGAAGGATCACGTCTGTTCTCTAAGCCAGAGAGGCCTGCCTACAAATGTAACATTTTAGGGATCTGGACCATTGCAGGTCGGGCTAGACCTCCAGAGTCAGCCTAAGCTAGTGGTAGCAGGATAGGTCATTGTGGCTGCATGACCTCCAAAGCAGGTGGGGCAAAACTTCATGATGCAGGGATCTGAGAGGCAGACTTTCTAGAGGCTGGCCATTGCTGCTTGCACAGTAACAATTCTCTCTCTTTGCAAGAGGAGAGGTTATCCCATAGACTTATGGATGGAAAGCCAATTGAAGGCTTTGATCCTTTAGTAGCCCACTCTGATATTTATCTTTTGCCCTGGACCCAGGATCCAATCCATGCATTGTATGATACTGTAGCTCTAAGTTCAGTGCTTTCTTCAAAATGCATTCTATTTATATTTGATTGCTACTGAGAGTGACATATTTTTATGCTTTATACTATATCACTTTTTTCTCCTACCAATTAAGTTCTTATGTTTTGGTGAAAAATATAAGTTTAATGAAAACATCCTATAAAGAATACTCTTCTTTTTTTTTTTTTTCGGTACGCGGACCTCTCACTGTTGTGGCCTCTCCCGTTGCGGAGCACAGGCTCCGGACGCTCAGGCTCAGCGGCCATGGCTCACGGGCCCAGCCGCTCCACGGCATGTGGGATCTTCCCGTACCGGGGCATGAAACCGTGTCCCCTGCATCGGCAGGTGGACTCTCAACCACTGTGCCACCAGGGGAGCCCTATTTTTTTTTTTTAATTCTAAGAATTACCTACAATGATGTAGTGGAGTGAGAGGCATGCCTGGAATCAGGAGAGCCCGCTCAACCTAAATTTATCTGTGCGACCTCAAGCAAGTCATTTAAACTCTCTGTACCTCAGTTTCCTTATTTGTAAAAAGAGGTTTGATCTCTCCATTTACTTCCAGTTCTAATTCTGTGGTTCTGACCCGCAGGACTCGAGCATTAGCCTGTTGCTAGACATATGCTGTCCGGTATGATAGCCACTGGCCACATGTGGCTACTGAGTACTTGAAACATGGCTAATACATATTGAGATGTGCTATGAATGTAAAGTGCATACCAGATTTCAAAGGCTTAGTATGAAAAAAGGGAATATAAAATATCACATTAACAGTTTTATATTGATTACAGTTCAAATATTTTGGATATACCAAATTAAACATTAAAGTTAATTTTATTTTCTTACCATCCTAATGTGGCTACTGGAACGTTTTAAATTACACATGTGGCACACATTACATTTCCATTCTATGGCCCTGCTCTAGAACATTTTATTAAGTGGATATTATTTAAGCAGACCAAAGGTTATAAGTATGATATTTACCTCTAAATGCTATGGTTTAAAGGACATTTATTGATCCTCGATTCAGTGCAAATAACTGTGACCCTCTATCGATGTATCAAATTTAAAACTTTTTTGAAATGAGTAAACTTGAAAATGTTAGACATTTTATTAGCCTGAAATCAAACAAAACTAGAGGTATATGTTGACACCCTATGGTAGTCACTAAATTTGGAAATCCTTTGATAAGCACAAAGACAAACAAGAAGATACAGAATAGACTTTTGGTAAATAAATGGAATTAAAGGAAAGTATCTAATTTCAGTGTCATAATGGGAAAAGGCTATATTCATTGGTCGTCATAATCTTTGACAAATCTCCATAGAGTCTAGGACACAGGTATATAAAATAGCAACTCTCTAGGTATCAGACCATGTTTAGTGGGTCCAGTTTCAGATCCTGCTGTAAAGAGGAAGGTCAGGTAGGTCATTGTTGGCCTCTGGAATTAGATTCAGATTTGCCAAGCATAGTATTGTGGGCACAGCAGCCCTGACGTCTACAATGATCAGAAGCCATAAAGAAAACCTGCTGCGTGGCCACTAGGTGTCACTTTCCCATTCCTATAGGGCTTTGTTTTCATTAGATTAATTTTTCCAAGTTCCATGGGGCCTAGGACAGGCATTTATGACTTCTGTGTCTAGAATAAGTCTGCCCCTGTTTTATAAGAAATGCTTTTTCAGAGAAGTCTGGGAAGCTCCCTTCCACATAAAATAAGAATTTTGGTTTAGAGACCTCTCCAGATGTGGCTCCAGTAAAAGCTGACTTTAGAAGGAAAGCCCATCCAACCTAGAATATGCTTTCTGAACTCATTTGGGAGTGTTTAGTGTGTGTGTCACTGCTCTTAGTGTTGAGTTTAGGTTTGTCTTTTATACAATTTTTAAGCTCTTTTCCATTTCACTTGCTCTTGTCTGTATGTTGGTATTTTTTAAATTTTGTGGTAAATAATGAAGAGTGAAATTAAACTATATTTTATAATAATTACTAGTTTGAAGTTTTCATTTAACATTTTAAACTTTCTCCAAAAAGTGTGTCCTTAACTATTTTATAAAGTGGAAACATAGAATGGGTAGCAGATCCAGTGTTCTAAGACCACTGGGAAGGGAGGTGTATGTTACTTTATACATTTTGGGGTGTGTTCATCAGGGTGTACTAACTGCTGTCACAACTCTAAAGTGTCAGTGGCTTAATCCATTAAAGGTTTCCTTCTGCTCATATCACATCCGATGTCATTAGCACTGTCTGTCTCCCTGACTCGACTCCTCCCCCTTCCCTGCCTCTCTCTCTTTCCAACTCTCAGCTTTGCTTTCCTGTAAGCAGGTGTTATCCTCTAGTGGACCACCTTCTCCGTACTGATGCTCAGAAGCTCCAAGCACAAATTATCCTTATACCTGACAATTACAATGGAAAGAGAGCTTCTCTGTTTCCTAGTAATTCACACAAAAATGTCCATTGATTAAGCCTCTGGTTCA